TTTATTACCAACACCCTCAAAACAAAAAACCCCCCTAGAATAAACCCAACCCCCAACCCCAGCCAGCCACAACACTGTGAATTCCTCAGGGAGGTGCCAGCCTCATCCTCTTGGACTTCCCACGCTTCTCCGGTGAACTAAGAACACGCTTATCTCCCTGAGCCTGGCCTTCATAATTCCATTCCATCACACATCTGTCCACAAGAGATTTGGATGGTTTTCTGCAGATGCAATCAGGGAGGATATCATTGTTTTTTTCCTTCTTCCTAATTGCCCTGGCACAGGCTTTATGATTATGCCTCCATCATGTCCAGTCGTGTCTATGGATCTTCACAATAGTCTCATCCCTTCATATTTCATCACCTGCAGTTGCTTCATAGAATGTACCACAGAATGTTTCAAGCTCTCATAGAGAATAATTAAGGACTTGGAGAACTGATATTCCACATGCCAATCAAATTACTGATAGACCAGGTTCCTAGAGCAGATTTGAATCCAACAACATTCATTAGCCTCCAAAAGCAGACTGCTACTAATAATTTATTAAACTTGTATGCTGTCTGACTCTCAACGACTCTGGGTGGCTCACAACAATCAAATTACAATAAAATCAATAAAACATAAAAAATAAAGATAAAAAATAGCAAGCACAGTGAAGTGAGAGGTCTCACTCTCCTTCACCAAAGGCCTGGGTGAAGACCCAGGTCTTCACAGCTCTTCTAAACAACAACAGAGGGGGGGCCATCTGGGTCTCGGGGGGAACCTTGTTCCAGAGGGCAGGCAGTGCTACAGAGAAGGCACACTTCCAGGGTCCTAAGAGATGGCATTATTTAATTGAAGGAACCCGGAGCACGCCAACCCTGCAGGATGAAATCAGCTGGGCAGATGTTATAGAAGACAGGCAGTCCCCCAAGTAACCAGACCCCATGCCATGTTTACCTTTATAGGTAACAGCCAGCACCTTGAATCGCACCTGGAAGCAAACCAGCAACCAGTACAGCTCACAAAGCAGTTTATAGGTAACAGCCAGCACCTTGAATCGCACCTGGAAGCAAACCAGCAACCAGTACAGCTCACAAAGCAGAGGTGTTACATGGGCATATCAAGGCATGCCCATAATCTCTATATTTGATTATATATAATCTAATCTGGTACTAATCTCTGTGGAGGGGAATAGAATGAGTCAAATCCTTGCTACTTAATGGTCAGTCCATAGCAAGACCATCACTTCTAGGACCTGGGTATGAGCCCCTCGCCTCTAGGATGAAAACCAGATATGACAAAGCATATGACTTTCTCAGGGATATCTTCTGAAGGCATGAAATCCTGAGCTGTACCTATTCAAGGCAGCCTCAATATGAACATTGGCCCCCCAAACCCCAAAAGTCTTGAGGTTTCCCGTACTCATGGATTCTGCCAGGCAGCAGGCCAGCTGCCATTGGTATTTCAAAGGAGTTCCTGATTTCACCCCTCACATCTGTTCAGAATAAGATACTTGCTTGAGAAAGTCATGCAGTTCCAGCTAAGTGGCCTGGAAAGGGAGATGGTATCTTGATAGACGATTACAACCCATCTCCCTGACTGCATTACTCCTGTATGGAATAAAGTGCTGGCAACAAATGAATCCAAACTTGCCCCCCTACTAGGAATATGCAGTTATTCAGACCAAAAGCAGAATGAATGAATGAATGAATGAATGAATGAATGAATGAATGAATGAATGAATCTATCTATCTATCTATCTATCTATCTATCTATCTATCTATCTATCTATCTATCTATCTATCTATCTATATCTCAGAGCGGGATGGATCTGATCACTGAACTTCTCAGTGCCACCTTAAAGAAGCTGCATCTTTTCTTGGGCTTGCGCTATGGCTGTGTGAGTTCAGGAACGTACTCTTCATTAAGGTGGTGGTGAAAGAGTGCAATGACCTCTTATTAAGGCATATTTTCCTGGGACCATGTAGCTATAGCACTGGAGGGGCTTGACTTTACCATTGGTGGATGCTTGGCCTGACTTCCCAGATACACAGAATCATAGAATTGGAAGGAGCCATTTAGGCATAAATTTCAACCACTTCCAGTAATTAAAATGTCAGCATCCCTATCAGATGGCTGTCCAACTTTCACCTGAACACATCCAATAAAGAGGAGCCTACTACCTTTTGTGATAATTGGTATTATTATCAATGTCTCTTACTGTTGTAGGAAGTTCTTTTTAAGCATTCAGTTGATATCCGCTTACTGATAACTTAAATCCTTTATTCCACATCCTGCCCTCCAGGACAGAATAGGTCTTGGTTTTCTGCTATATAACATTCCTTCAGGTATTTGAAGAATGATATCATAGACCGACTCAGTTTTCTTTTCTCATAGCTAAACATGCCCACCTTCTTCATTCTCTCTTGGTGGGACTTAATTCTAGTCCTCTGTTCATCCTTATTGCCATTCTCTGAACCTATACTAGTTGCTTTATATCCTTCTCAGTGTGATGCCCAGAAAAAAATATAGTGGAGTCTGATCAAGATAGAATAAAATAGAACAATTACTTCCAATGATTTGAAAATTATACTTGAGACAACCTAAAAATTGGCAGTCATGTCTACATTGTTGGCTCAGTTTACAATAAATATTCCAAGAGCTTTTTCATGAGTACTATTATTAAGCCTAGCACCCCGTCTTATACTTGTACATTTGATTTTTGTTTCCTAAGTAAAGCAGTAGATCTCTTTATGATCTGCTGTGGGAACTTCTCAGGTATCAAGGTCAGCCTGACTGATCTGTAGTTGGCAGAACATTCCTCTTTTTTGAAGATAAGGACATTTGCCCTCCTCCACGTTTCACTTTACCATTTATCCAGGATTTCTTAAAGATAATATATGTAGGTTCAGCCAACCATCAGTTAGCTCCTTCCAAATGATAGGATACAGTTCATCTGGCCCTGAAGATTTAAACTCATTCAAGAGGTTTTGGCTGATTTTGTTGCTTTTAATTTCAAGGTTCAGTTGTACTTCTTCATACTATTATCCATAATTTCCTAGTCAAGTATATAAGAGGCTTTTTTTTTATGGAGAAGAGTGAACCAAACTAGGGGTTGAATGGCTTTGCCTTTTTTTTTGCTACTTTCTAACATTTTCCCATCTCAATTGAGGAATGGGTGTATTGATTCTTTTCCACTTATTTTGAACTTATCAAAGAAATCTTTTTAAACTGTTCTTAGAATCCTTTTTTAACCTCAGCTCATTCTCAGCTTTCGCCTCCTGACACCATCTCTCTATGTAGTTCAGGCTATCCACATTTCCTATGTGTCCTTTTTTCTTTCAGATTTTCACTAAGCTTTTTGTGTAGTAACCACATTGACTTCTACTACTATACTGTCCTCCCTTTTCTTTTTATTGGAATTGTTTGCAACTGTTTTTTGTATCTCTTTCTTTTGCAACTCCTGCCCATCTTGAGTTCATTTTCCCATTAGCTTTTCTGCTATTACTCTAGTAGGCAGAAGAGGAGGAAGATATAAATATATGTAATATATATAATATATAACAGCCTGGAGAACTGTGTGGGTTTCCTGATAAAATACAGAGAAATGTAGTGTAGCAATAGCTTCTTAAATCTATTTTCAATGGCAGCCACTCTCCTCACCCCAATGCTCTCTGGGAGATACAGAATCAATATTTCTAAAAGTAATGTGACTCTGTTCCCTCCTTCTCTGTTCCCCAAGTCGAGGCACTTAGAAAGAAGCATCAGATGTTTTGACATCTATTTGCTTTTCATGGTAGAAAAAAGTAATTTTTAATAGAGGAGTTATGAAAAGCATTTTGCTGTTTTCATGTAGTTAACTTTTTAATGGTGAAAAGGTTATTTCCCTTAAAATGATAACAATGCAGATAATCCTCATTTAGCAACCACAATTGAGACCGGCAACTTGGTAATTAATCAAAGTGGTTGCTAAGTGAAACCACAACTGTGCTTTCAATCTGACTTCAGTTTTCCTTTGCCTTACAAACCTGTGAAGGTTGTAAGAGCAAGGATTGGTCACAAATTTACTTTTTCATCACTGTCATAACTGTGAACAGCTGCTAAATGAGGCAGTCGCTAAATGAGGACTACCCGTAGCATGACGCATGTTTGATGGAAGTGAAATTCTAGTATTCTGGAATAACATTCACATGCCCACTTTATAGTTTTTTGAGAATGAATTATTTTCCTGAGCTGCATATGAAGTTTCTGTGCAGCTTCTTCTTTAATTTCATGTCTTTTATCCTCATGTTCTTCCTCTGCATTATGCCACTAATTCACAATCTCCTACCTGCTTTTCCTTCCCTTTTTATCAGCTATATGTGCCCTGCCCAGTGAAGCCATTGGCATTTCCTTCTCCACCCAACTCATTCCATTTAGCCACTACCACATAATACAGGCTTCCCTTGCTTTATGTTAGAATTATGTTCCCCCTAGATCTTCCATAAGATGAATTCATATAAAGCAAGATACAGGTACTGAACAGTGTCCGGTGGAAAACAGGGGAGGCAGGGTTTGGTGTCAAATTTTATAACCCAAATGCATTGACAAATGTACTCATAAATTTTCAGAGCCTTATTCTTAAGTAATTGATTGATTATGTGCCATCAGGTTGTTGTTGCCTTAAGTGACCACAAAGGTTTTCTCCATGATGATCTATCCCTAACCTGGTCTTTCAAGTCTTCCAATGGTGTACACATCACCATTGTAACTGAGCCATCCACCTTGCTGCTCGTCTTCCTCTTCTCTTCCACCTTTCCCAGCATTAGAGCCTTTTCCAGAGAGCTAGGTTTTTGCATAATGTGTCCAAAGTAGGATAATTTGAGCCTGGTCACTTGTGCCTCTAGTGAGAACTCTGGGTTGATTTGTTTGACGATCCATTTGTTTGTTTTCATGGCTATCCACGGTATTCTCAGGAGTCTTCTTCAACACCAAAGTTCAAAAGCTTCAATACTCTTTCTATCCTGCTTCTTCAAAGTCTAGCTTTCGCTTCCATAGAGTGTCAGGGAATACCATGGTTTGCATGATTCTGATCTTAGTAGGTATAAACACATCCCTTACTCGAGCATGTCTTCTTCCTTTTCTCATGTTCTATGTATAGTGGAAACATTTTTCCCATCTTTTGTACAGCTGGATTTCTAATGCGTGTGGTTATCAGGGCAAACAAAGAGGTAGAATGCATCATAACGCTATGAATTTTATTAGCTTTCTTTGTTATGTTGTGGACAGTACATTCATCCAGATTAAAGCTTGTCCCAGAGCTGAGGATTCTTCACCAGTTTCAGCACAATGTAGTATGTCCAACTTTGTTTCTAGTGCTACAGAAGTTCTTTGCTTTTTCATTTTGGGTAATGGGGTTGGACAAGATGCTGATAGCCATTTTGACCTCCATAATAAGAGTAATAGCTATTGTGGGTACGGAATTCAGCGGAAGGCAGGCCACGCATTTTGTAACGGATATTCAAATATAATCCTCTAGTGTTTAAATTGTTCAAAATTGGGTATATGTACCAGTTTTCTAATGGTTGTATAATACTGCACAAGAGCCCTTAGGGTGAAAGATGGATCCTTTTAAACCCCCTTCCCTCCCTTCTTCGTAGGAGTTTAAAGTCACAAAGAAGTTTGGGGAGGGGGAAGAGACTTGCTTCTTCCTAGTTCCGTTGCCGGAAGCGGTTCCCGCAATGTAAGGGGTCATTTAATTTCAACTCTTGTTTAGGAGACCTAAGTCTCCTATCCCCCCCGCTTGAGTCGAGAGCATGTCCTGAAATCCAATTTTTTCTCCCATAATTATATATGTAAATCGTAGGAAAGAGTTATAGTTGGCAGGGCAAAGTAATCAAGTTGGTCTTACTGTGCAGTAACATTTCTTATATTTTTTCGCTTATCTGGACCGGAAGTCAGAATAGAGCGAAAGAGAGAGAGACATGCTTTCCATCTAAAATAAAAGACCATAAATGTATGTACCCAACAGACATATTATTTCGTTCGGCTGTGCTCTCTAAGCCGGCAAAGTGCGGAAGAAAGCGACCAGCAAATAAACTATTAGCTGGTCACAAACCCAAAGGTGATTTTTGACTTATTCTTGTAGCGGCCGCTACTCCCACCAGAGGCAGCGCTGTCTGCAGAAATAGAACGCCTCTGTGACGTACAGTCATAATTTCCCATTCATAACTCCAGGTGCTCCGATGCTGATTGGTTATTGGGTCCATAAAACGGAGAAATACGGACCTATCTGATACGACACTTTCTCTTCGGAACGAACTATTCTTCCAAGAAAGGCAATAATTTTTTTTTTAAGTTACTGGACTTGCTAGCTGCGTCTTCCTTTAAATTAACCAAACCACATTGTTTTCTCACAACATAATTCCTTGACCCTTTTGAAATTAACGATTACTATAGTACTTTTCTCCTTCAATTTCTCAAACAGAAATGGAACATCCCGCTCCGCCCCTCCCTCTGCTCGTCGCCATCTTGGCGCCTCCTTTGCGCAGGAGTCGATTGCACAGCTTGTTCCGCGGTGGAGCAAACCACGGAGAGGGAAGCATGGGGGGTAGGCGGGGTGGGGCAATGTATTCATAGCAGACGAAACTAACCGAATGTTGTTATAAAGGGGGGGTGAGGCTAGACTCACTTGGGGAGGGAGGTGGACGTTATTATTTGGTAACTGACAGGGGGTGGGGCTCGGATCTAACTATTTGTGAAAGGGGAGTGATGGTGCGGTGCCCGGTTTTCTGAACGGAACTCTTGCCTGTACGGAGGGGAAGGGTGTGTGCCTGTGGGTGGTACTGTTGTGATTGGTGCCTGTGCATGTGTACCTGTATGTATCTCGGTATTTAGATAATTCCGCTGAGCTAGGTGGGGAGGAGAGAGGGAACAGAAGAGCGACGGGTGGAGTGAAGATGGTACCATTGTGAACGCTTTTTAAGGGGGGGATACGGCTGACTTAATTGCGATGGGACCGGTCTAGGTGGAAAAGGGAGGGCTGGGTGGTACCATTTGGGGGGACCTATAGGGAGAATTAAAGAAGTATCACAGATTCGAATGGCAACCCATTGCGGTTGAGCAGAGAAGAATAGAAGCGGTGCCTTTAGCGGCCCACTGTATTCCGAAGGTCGGAGGAAGATAGGAAGCGCCACTTCAGGTTTAGGAAGGGATGAACCTGTGGTGGCATCAATGAGAGGCTGGTTCTAGTGGTATCATGCGTGGAGGTGCCAAATCAAACCAGCCCATGAAGCAAGTGGTGCCATTTTGAGCTGGTACAGGTCCCATCTTCAGGAGTGTGGAGGGAGGGTGGCTGACTGCTGAAGGAGCAGAAGGCTGGGCCTTTTCCTGCAGAGCATTTTGACATGACTGTCTGAGGGGCAGCAGTTGCCCAGGTTGGAGGGGCCCAAGGAGAACCATGAAAAAACCCTGCTGTTAGGAGACTGATATTTGTTCAGACAGCCCCAAGGACCCTCTCTCTGCCATGGCCTCAAACTGTACTGGAGGCACAGCGGCTGCAAGCGCTGGCTCAGCTGTGGGTGCTGCACTCAGTGCTTCCAAGACCAAGACAAAGAAGAAGCATTTCGTCTGCCAGAAAGTGAAACTCTTTCGAGCCTCTGAACCGCTCCTGAGTGTCCTTATGTGGGGAGTCAACCACACGGTGAGCAAGAAATGCACAGTAGTAGGCAACTCCCACCTCTTTGAACTTATGTGTGCATGGCAAGAGGCATCAAATATGTTACCCAGCCCTCTCAACTAGAGAGGTACATTCTGCCATTGAATATTTGTCTCTTCTTACAGCAATTATGTAGCATCTCTTGTGTTGAACATTAGATCCAGGGTAATGCATCCTTATTTTGATAACATATTAGTATCCATATTTTGCATGAAAACACATGTTGGAAAACAGTAGAGTAATGCATCTTTTTTAAATAAAGGGAGAGTATGTAAAGATTTCTAAAATAATTACAAAGGGGTAACAATTCTGTGTTAAATGAATTTCAAGTGTTCATCTACAGAAGGAGGAGGTTCTTTCATATAATCTTGCTTCTCACACAAGTGGGTAGGAACTTGAAGATAAACAGCAATAACCCTGCCTCCTAGTTTATCTTGGCAAGGTGTATGTTTTCCTGCTGACCTTTCTCACCTGCTCCAATGGGAGAAAGGAACAAATGGTTTTCAGTTGGGCAGTGCAGTGATCCAAATTTGAAAGGGACAAGGTAATTTGGAGCATGTGGGGGTGCATGTTGTACCTACTGGCAATTCCTTAAAGAAGCTTGGACTTGATTTAAGGAGGTGCTGACAGGAGCAGTGTGCTTCCTGATGAATCACCTTTTCCCTTCACATCAGGAGTGCTATCCAATCTTAGTTTTCAGAATGAATCGGACAACTATATGTTTATTCAGAAATCAGCTGTTTTGAGTTCAGGAAGATTGCTCTGTATATAGGATTGTGGCTTCAAATCCTCAGCAGCAAATTCTGGTTCTTATAACCTGTGTGTGTCATCTGGGTTCAGTTAATCCATTCTTGCATATTCTTTACCAAGGAGGTTTCAATTTTCTATATTTTAAATTATTGCTTGCCTGGATAACTGATCTTCATAAAGCAGGAATGTAACTTCACTGAGCTAATAAGGGATAAAAGATGATAATCTTTTTCAGTATCCAGCAGAATACTATATAATTCTTAAATATCTATAAATATTATGATAAATAATCATTTTGTTGCAGTCTATCTGAGATTATCATCTCACTTGTACAAAGCAATAAAAGGCTCTTGCCATCCCAGAGCCCAGGGACAGAACTATGTGCCTCCTAGAATTCCTAGTCAGCGTGGTCAACTAGGAGTTGTAGTACCACCATATCTGAAAGGTGGCAGTTTGGAGGAAGGTTACTGCAAAACATTCACAAGCAAACTTCTACAAATTTCACAAGCTCTAGTTAGTAAGATGGCCCTAAAGAAATGGAAGAGAATGTTTCTTTGAATAGTAGCAATCCTGACAAGTAGAGTGGAGGCATTGTTTTCTTTATATCAGTCTTAAAAGCCCAGTTGTGTATTGTGTGCACATATCTGAATGGGAGATTACTTAAGCTGCTGCTGGACTACAACTCCCAGTACTTCTTATAATTGATCGTGCTTCCTGACCTTGCTGAGAATTTTAATTCAGCAACATCTGGAAAACAATACAGGTAGTCCTCGGTTAACAACAGTAACTGGGACCAGAATTTCCATCACTAAGCGATGCAGTCATAAAGCGCAATATCCCATGAACGCATTGCTTAGCAACAGCAATCCCATTGCCGTTGTTAACTGAATCCCATTAGTTGTTAGGTGAGGACCCACCCCGATCCAAGCCATTCCCAGCTTGGTCCCTCCCAGCCCCGTGCCTTGGTAAGATAAGGGACTGCCTTTTCTGCCTCCTCTTGAACTCCCCCCACCTGCCTGTCTCCCCCCCATCTCTGCCCTTTTGGCTGCCCACCTACCAACTGCTGCCAGCTGCCCCTGCTGCCCAGCTTTGCCTGCCACACCACCCACCACACCATGCACCACTACTGTACCAGTCAGGGCCTTCTTTCACACCACCTTCTTTTCGTGCCGGAGTAGGCAAGGCTTCTCTCATGCCCTGCCCAGGACTTCCATTTGCGTGCCAGCCAGGGCCTTCTTTCATGAAAGAAGCCTGGTGTGTGAAAGAAGGACATGGCTGCACAAATGCAAAAGAAGGACCCATTCCTTTCACATGCCAGTTTCTTTTGCAAAAGGCCCCAAGCGGGGGATGCATGGAGTCCCTGGCTGGCATGCAAATGGAGGCCCTGGGTGGGCCACGAACAGAGGCTCTGGATAGGGTGCGAGAGAAGCTCTGGCTGCATTGGCACAAAAGGAGGCCCTGGATGGTACACTAGTGGTGTGGCAGCAGGCGCAGGGGTGGGCAGGGCCAGCGACAGTGGGTAGGTGGGCGGCCAAAAGGTGGTCGTAAATGCGGTGGGCCCAAGTTGGCCCAAATTTTGTTTGTGTGGCCGCAGGGGCGCTGCAACGGCCTTAGGGACTGGTCATAAATCCCTTCATTCAGCACCATCATAACTTTGAATGGTCACTGAATGAATGGAAGTTAAGTGAGGACTACCTGTAGATACTTAAACATGGCTCATGCAACTTGCAGTAAGTTTAATTATTCACAAGTCATTGGTGAATACTTGCAGGATGTGTGATTTATATGAACGAAATGTCTTCTTTCTCTTCAAGTCACTTTATTTAGTTGTTTGCTTATATACTATCCTTCATTGTGAAAAGAAATCCCCATTAGGGTTGATTGCAGTAGCAGTGGATACCATTGAGTAAAAATGCCTGGCAATTAAATACATTACCATCCATCATCTTGTTTTAATACTAGATCATTTCATCTGATGGAAAACGTTTGTTTTCCTCCTCATGGTAAAAATAACCAATATTGGTGCCAGAGTCATCTCCATTCTGTGAGGTAAACATGACAATATTACCCTATATGTGAAGAGATACTGCAGTGCTCCTTGAAATTGATGAAATCTAATTATTTTCTAAACTTTCTAGAAGTTCTGCTTTTTGTTCAATCCCTGAAATAAGGTAGCAGGCAGAATACCATTCCAGGTGTTCCTTCAGCATGACCCCAAGTTAGCTATGCCTTTGTTTTTCCCAACCTGGTTGCCCCTGAAGGATTGGCCTTAAATCCCCATAATCCCCCTAGCAGCATTATAACTGTTGCAGTTCAAACATCTTCAGAGTCTTAGAAGCCTTCCCACCTCTGGATCATGATTTCTGGAAAGTACAGAAGAGTTCTAAGTATTTGTGCTCTATCTCTCTCCCCTCCCCATATTCTCCAGTGAATCTGGGAGGCCTCTGCCTGATCCACTTCTGAATATTATTTCCTTTCTTGGGGCTTCAAAAATGTTTCAGTTCCCTTTGGCCATGTAACAGTTCTTGCATATTTCCATCAAGGTCATCTTCCTTATTGCTTGGACTAGTCCCTGCAGTTTTCTTGGCAAGATTTTCAGAAGTGGTTTGCCGTTGCCTTTTTCCTATGGCTGAGAGAGAGTGACTGGCCCAAAGTCACCCAGCAGGCTTCATACCTAAGCAGGACTAGAACTCATCTCCCGGTTTCTAGCTTTGTGCCTTAATGATTACTGTACACCAAACTGGCTCTCATATAATACCTGTCCCAAATAATATTTGCCACATAGGCTAGATGGTAGTCTAATGCTCATGGGATTGTTTTACCGTATATTGTGTTCATCTTACTCTGGAAATCCTTTCACATTTACATATAGTTTCTCAGACAACTTTATCCTCAAAAGGCCTCTGAACGGTGCTCTTCTTTCATCTACTTCCAACTTTGCTGTATGGAAAGAGACCAGAGAAAAAGTGCTTATTGAGCCAAATACAAACATACATGTAGTGGCATATGAAGTTGAGAAGAAAAAACTCAGGCTCAGTTGTGTTTTGCAGATCTAATAACTTTAGAAACTAAATATTAGAAAACAGTGCAATTTTTTTCTTTATATTTTCAGAAGTTACTTTGAAACTAGTTAAGCACGGATTTCTCTGGATTATCCAGAGAAGAATCTCCAACAAAGAATTTAAGAATTGGTCAAGCTGCTAAGCTCTGAAGTAGCTGAAGTTTTAAGGTGGACAGTCCCATGTTATGCCAATTTTTTTTTTTTAGATTTTTTTTATCCTGCCTTTCTTATTTTTATAAATAACTCGGGGTGGCGAACATACTTAATACTCCTTCCTCCTCCTATTTTCCTCACCACTACAACCCTGTGAGGTGAGTTGGGCTGAGAGAGAGTGACTGGCCCAAAGTCACCCAGCCAACTTTCATGCCTAAGGCGGAACTAGAACTCAGAGTCTCCTGCTTTCTAGCTTGATGCTTTAACCACTAGACCAAACTCAGCTTTTCATGACGAGGGCTGCTTTCCTTTAGAGTTTTCTCTTGGGGACCCAATAGTGAGTAGAGCTGAAGCAGTTCATGGGTAGAACCAGAGTATAAAGTGAAACGAATTGCTGCTAGTGCTCTATACATGGCAGGTTTCCATGTGAGTCTAAATGTCCTCTTAAGTCCTGACAGATAAGATTTGAGAGCTGCAATTCATTTTCTCATAAGGATAGCTCATATGAAATAATATGCCTCATATTTTTATCCCATTGTTGCTTAATAGAAAGCCACTAATTGTGGGATTATGTTAAGAGGAACAAGTATGTCATGTGTATATTCATAATGATTCCTGGATCTACTATAAATGACAGCCAATACAGGTAGTCCTCAAGTTATGACCGTTTGTTCAGCAACTGTTCAAAGTTACAACGGTGCTGAACGAAGGGACTTACAACTGGTCCTTGAAGTTCCAGCCATTGTAGCACCTCCAGGGTCATGTGGACAAAATTTGGGTGCTGGGCAACCAGCTCGCACTTACAACCAGTTGCAGTATCCCACAATCATGTGATTGCCATTTGCACCCTTCCCTGCTGGCTTCCCCCAAGCAAAGTCAATGGGAAGCTGGCAAGGAAAGTTGCAAGTTGCTGGGGTAAATCCCTCCCCAGCCTTTCTTTGCTCGCACACACTGAACCCTCCTTCCCCAACCTCCCTACACTTGTACACACATACACATGCACCCCACATCCTCTTTCCATGGCCTCCCTGCAATTGCACACATGCATGCACATACCCCTGCCCTCTTTCCCTGGCCTCCCTGCGATTGCACACATGCATGAACATACCCGCACCCTCTTTCCATGGCCTCTGCTATCGTATGTACCCTGGGCCTTTTTTCCTCAGCCTCCCTGTGCTTGCACATGCACTCTGTGCCCTCTTTCCCCAGCCTCCCTGCAATCACAAGCACCCCCCACCCTCATTCCCCGGGCTTTATGAGTTCGCGCCACACTGAGTGCCCCCTCCCCTGACTCTCATGCGGCCTCACCGGGCCTACCAGGGCCTCCCTCACCCCCCTGTGGCACCCCCGCTCTCCTTACTTGGGACTCCCTCCACTTCCCGCTTAAGGACCTCCACATCATAGGTTACCATGACAACCGGGACTGCCTGGATTGCTGTTACTGAGCGATGCAGTCACGTGACATTGCGCTTTACGATTGCATCACTTAGCATCGGCAATCCAGGTCCCAACTGCAGTCATAACTCAAGGACTACCTGTATAGCATCATCCACATGTTGCAATACCCAACATTCCACCTTTAAGTACAAAGGTGGAAGTTAAAGGTGGAATGTTTTGATCTGCTTTGCACTTAGTTTCTATGCTATGAAGCATGCTTTCATTTTTAATTCAGAAAAATGTGTTTCCTTCCCTAATCCCCAGAATCTAAAATTTGAGATATATAGCAAATATGAATATGAGATTCTAAAAAGCAACAGTAAATGTTTTTTTCTCCCCTATGGCAAGCCTTTTGTCAAAAATTGTGTTTTGTAAGTATTATTAGAATGATTAATCCTCAGAGGAATTCTGAGACCATATAAAATGTTTTGTTAGTTACAGATTGAGAAAGTTTTCTTTTAAAAATAAGAAAAATAAGAACATTTTAGCAGGTACTTACCACACTTTCAAACATATCTTTGCATCAAAATGCAATTAGATGATTAACTAAAAGTTTGAGTGATTAGGACAGACCTAGAATTGTTTATATAGATATAATTATCTGTCTGAAAATTGAGAGAGAAAGAGAGAAGCATTACATTGTTATATGAATTATGCAGACTCAAAGCCTGGAGACAACAACTGATGATGATGATGATGATGATGATGATGATGATGATGATGATGATGTAGATTATGTAGCCTAGAGCACTCAGTTCCCTATGATTTCCTTCTCTGAACAAATACAGAATAAACTATCACCCCTTTGTAGAATATAACTGTTTTCTTGACTATGAAACTTCAGGTTATTCATTTAATGCTGAAACTGCCAGTAAAGGTTAGTGGGGTTTATTGGTTCTATGATCATACATACCAGCAATGTAGGCGGCTTCCTTTCTCTTTTCCCTCACATCCTGTTTAGATGTTGCATTTCTTTTGCAGATTAATGAGTTGAGTAATGTCCCTGTCCCTGTTATGTTAATGCCAGATGACTTTAAAGCCTACAGCAAGATTAAAGTGGACAATCACCTTTTCAACAAGTGAGTAATAAACATTTTTTGTTTAAAATATCCCCCCCCACATTCCCCATTTAACTTCAGTATCTGAATAACTAGCTTGTTATGAATATATAATGACATGAATCATAATTTTGCAGAAGACAGTGTGACACGAAAGAAAAGCAAGTATTATAAAAGAGCATCTTGAACCCAGCACTATTCATGTGTCTGAGTGTGCTCTGTGTCCCGCCATGTGTGGATATGATTGGGAGCTGCAGTTCATTTTCGGATAGTGCCAGGCGATAGAGGATAATATCCTTTCTGTACCAAATGTGTTGACTGCTCATATACCTTTTTGGCACAATTTCAAGTATCATTATATTTTGATGGGCCAATATATTTAAGGAGTATCTCTTTCCATATGTGCCTCCCTATTCTTTAAATCTCTATGAGAAATAATGTTCTGTGTGCAAGGTTAGATACAATAGAAATCAAAGAAGTAGTAGGGTTACAATGCTTTGCAGTGGGAGAAAGGCATCAGTGTTGTTTCAGAAGCACCTCTCTGGGCATTTTGGTGTATGTAGAAATATTGACTATTCAGGAGGGCTTTTAAAACTGGCTGATAATTTGGAGGACTTTTTTTTTCTACTGCTGTTTTTATTATGCCTTTTGGATTTTGAATTCTTTTTAAATTGTATTTCTACATCCTAATACACTTTTTCATTTTAAAGTGCTTATTAGAGAAGCAGTATGGAAATATTAAATGAGATTTTACATCTGGACAAACCTGGGAATTTAAAGGTAGAAGAGAAGGCAAACTGACTCCAAACTAAAGGTGTTAGATTGAGAGGTCTGAGCCTGGATAGATACTCAACCATGCTGGTCACTGACAGCAGGCTTGAATTTAGAGAAGGACTGAAGTACACACACTGGGGGTGAAGGGGGCATCATTGACTCATCCCTAATATGCTTTGAAGGAGATTTAATCACAAATATACACATGTTAACCTGTAGTGAGATTACAATTGCCAGGCAAACTGGATCAGCTTTTAATGATTAGAAGATTATTAATTCTTATTTTTTCATTTGTGCCATTAGTATACGATGAATGATAATATGTATAGGTTGGACAACATTTTTTTTTGTGGATTAAGAATGTTTTGTAGATATGAAGAGAACTTCCTTTATTTAGTCTATGTTCTCCGTTAAAATTGCATAGAACATGCCTCCTGCAATTAAGATTTGGATATTGAAATCTGGGGAGCTACTCAGAATGTGTTTTAGATTTCCTCTGACATTTTGATGTAACTGAGTGGATATAGTTGCAAAGTAGAAGCAGCATTTTATTCTTTCTTTCACGATTAGCTGCAAATAGGTTATCTTTCTTGACCTCTGGACAACTGTTGTGAAATCACTAAATTACTTTCTGTAGCTTGTGCCTTTTAAACAATAACAACAGTATTTTAATTTTAAAAACTTAATTATACAACTGTGGCTACAGTATTCATTCAATCCAGCAGCCAACCCAGATGTTGGCTGTACTGTTTCATGCATAATGCTTTTCATGAAGTTTTTAAACAAGTACATTTCTTTATTTATTAGATAAATCCCAACTTTCCTCTAGGTGTTCAAGATGATATATATAGTATTTCCTCTGCCAGTTTTTCCCTGCAGCATCTATGTGAAGTAGGTTGGTCTGAGAAAGAGTAACTGGCCCAAAGTCACCCAGCAAGATTGTATGGCTGAAGATGATTTGATCCTGAGCCCCTCCCAATCCTAGTCTAACATCTTAATTACTACACCACACTAACATGTTCATTCAGTTGATTGATGTCATTTGTCCTCCTTTCAAAGACTGATGTATTCCAACTGATACCGACCTTATCTAGTGAAATAGGAAAAAAAATAATCAGTCTGAATAGAAATTTTAGGTGTAGGAGCCTCCTAACATGAATAGGAACTTACCCTGGGAAAAGCAGATCCTCTTTTTTAATATTTATGTAGGATGTTACTTTTTTGTTATGTTTATCTTGCAGAAATGAAATATTTTACAGATTTTGACAGTATGTTTTGTGGCAGCAGATAGGGAAGGATATTTTCTGTCAAAGAAATGTTACAGAGATGAATCTTTGCTCTTTTGCACGTGGACAGAGGTACTACTGTATATTAGATAAGCACTTGCCAGAGGACCCCTCAAGGCAAATTCCATGCTTGGAATCATTAGGCAGAGAGTTGAAAATAGAACTGTTAATATGCTATAATAATGCAGGGTTTCAGTGGGACCATAGTTAGATCTTTGTGTACCACACCTTAAGAATATTTTAGAGCTAAACAAGGTACAAAAAAGGGCAGGCAAAATTATTAGGGGGCTGGAGCAACACCCTTGTGAGAAAAAACTACAGCAGTTAGAACACTTTAACTTGGAATGAAGAAAGGTAAGGGGAAACCTGATAGAAATATATATTACAGTGGTGCTTAAAAGTTTGGGAACCTTTCTGAATTTTCAATATTCAGCATAAATATGAGCTAAAACACGATCTGTTCTCTACACAAGTCCTAAAACTAGATAAAGGGAACCCAATTAAACAAATTAGTAAAAAACATTAATTTATTGAGGAAAATGATCCAAAGCTACATATTTGTGTGTGGCAAAAGTATGTGAATCTCTAGGATTATCAGTTCATTTGAAGGGGAA